CCCCAAAACCCCAAAACCCCAAAACCCCAAAACCCCTAATTTAATAATAATATTGAAACTTTCATGGAGAAGAAGCTGACTAAAAATAAACTTCTAGAACTAAAAACAATCGAAAGTAAGAACAATCTCAGAAATGAGATCCTACAGATCAATAATCTAGGTAAGCCAAGCCAAGAAACTTCCCAAATCTTAAACTAGATTTATTTAATCACATTTAGGGTCAAGCAATGGAATACTGTAAAGGTGAATTATATGATAAGTGTATAAAATAACATCGATAAGGCAAACCATCTGATAGAGCTACATTTCCCGAAGAACTTTAGGTCCCAGAGGAACTCCATCGTGGGGTATATAAACCAGGTCTTTAGATACCAGCTGATCTCGGTTACTTATAACAATTGAGCATGTTTGTATAAATAAAAAGAGCAAGCTCCTTCTTGCATTCAAGTGACTCCAATTCGCTCTGAATGCAGACAAGGATTTACTCAGGCTTTTTGAGAATATATCAGAGATCAGGTCACGACAGAAGTTTGAGGCTTTAGATAATGAAGAACAACTTGATAAACTTAGACTGAATGATTCATACAGAAATGATATGGCAAGTACTTATTTGAACATGTGTGCTGTTCTTTCCTTGATGAAAACCCATGATAAAGCACTTGGCATGGCACAGAAGGCCATTGAGATAATTACCAACCAGAGAAATGTCTATTGATTTGACCTAGAAACAACCGTTAAAAAGCTTGAAGATAAGCTCAAGATCACTCTTGCTGCTGGTTATTACAACAAAGCTGTCGAATTAGAATATCTAAATCAGCAAAAATAAATTAAAAAGAGAGTACTCTCTTATGTCTTATTCTTCAATTAAATAACGCCATTATTGTATGTAACAGTATTCCAAAAGCAAAGGACTTGGAAATTTACCAAGAAATTATGAAATTCAACAAGAAAATTCACATTGTAAACCAGATCAGGGTGTCTAGTAGAGGCTCTAGCCGTAGTACCCAGAAGAGAATCTTCAGCCCACCAGCGTTCTCGATACCAAAAGGAGAGACTAGTCAGTTTCAGAATTTTTGGGCAAGCAGTCCAAAGTCATCTGATGGAACTATTAAACCAATGTATTACTCAAGAACAAACGAAGAGAAAGCGATTCCATTCTTTCAAAACCGGAAGCAATCCAAGGGAGAAAGAGTCAAAGGTGACCAGGCAGACATAGGCCTTTCCTTCCCATCGCCTAAGAATAGCATTGATGAGAGAGAGTCTGATAGCGATAATCAGCCCTATAACCAACGAAACATGATTCACCAAATGAATTATACTACCACTAGGAGGCAGATGCCTCAAATTTTGAAGTACAACTTCAAAAATTCTTATGCACTACCAATAAAATAACTCTTCAAAAACCAGTTTTGAAGTGCAGCCAATTCCTGCCTTCAAGAGGTCGATAGTACAAATCCCTACCACGAACAGCATAGGAAATATCAGCAATAACAGTGGTGGGAGCAAGAACTGAGGTTCTGAAAGACTCTATATTGATGAATCCGATTTCATACAGTCAAAAATGATGGAGATTGAGAAAGTGCATAGATCCCGAAAGAAAAAGAACAGAAGCACAAGACCAGTAGTTCCTAGATTTTAAATTTATTCAATTCAACTCTTTTACTAACTCCTGGGGTTTTGGGGTTTTGGGGTTTTGGGGTTTTGGGGTTTTGGGG